TAGTGAATTTTCTCTAATAAGCTCATCAGTTTACAACTTTGTCTTATTGGAAGTAAAGCAAGTTCTTCCTGGTTTGTGAGAGAAGGTGCGGCTAAATTCTTGGTATTACATTGTATTGACAGGAAAAAAATCAAAACATATTGTATTTTATTTTTAGATCACAAGCACTAATTTGTTGCATAAAAAATGCAAAGCAGGAATTTGAGACCAACTTGGAAATTCTTGACCAACTGTTTTAAAAGTATGGGTGTACTTGGTGTTTCCAAAAGCTCATAATGAGCTTAATCATATGGATTGTTTATATAGTTTATCATGTATAAGTTTGTATAATTTATTATGAGAACTCTTAGCATAAAATTATCATATGTACTTCTCTTCACTGTCTTATGACATATATTTTTTAATTTTGCAAATCATATGCATGTGTGTAGAGGGTGGAACAAAATGTATTGGGAGGGAATTTTGAGAATGAAATAAGTTTGGCAACTGAACCAATTATTTAGAAGGCTGGTGAGCTCTCAATTGCTGGAGATCTTGACACAGAGGCTGAACAGCTGCTTGATGGATATACCTTAGTACAAGATACCCTGCGTCAAGCAGACAGGTGAACATAACTCACCTCAATGGTTTTATTTTTAAAGACATGGCAAATATAGTAACCTATTATTAAGCTAAGTGTATTGCTGCCTGTCTAAAAGGAATCAGACCCAGGAACAAATCAACATCTGGGGGTGATAAGGTTTTGTGATCCAAACTGAGATTTCTTAAAGTGCAGGGATTTTTGTGTCATTTTGCCACAACCAGTTAGATTCATGTCTAAAGTTTGAAACTTGCTGGGGTATAATGAAGTCCAAGAAGAAAGAAGTGGGCAAGGAACCGCACTTTCCCTCCTCTAGGATGACGAGAGAACTGTACAAGAATGTTATGCGTCTTCTCGTATCTCATGTCTTCACCATTCAGTCTTGTTCTGGATTATGGCATTCACAGAAAACATGGAACAGAAAGCGAGTTACTCAAGATTAAATATTGTTTAGAAGTTTCCTCTGATGCTATAATGCAAAACCACAAGTTTGTGAATAAGGAATATTTGGGGCATTATTTAAAGTGCTATAATAATTTATCCAATCAAAGAAAGAGGCAGAGGTATTGTAGTCTCACCTATTACTTCAGACATAGTGAAGTACAAGTATCCAAACCTTTATACATTCTGTTCAGGAAGACTACTGTCCCCTTGTGTAAAATGCTGAAAATATCAGACTAAAGTGCTGACAGTGAAAAATGCTTCAACAATGCTTTTCCTAGTAGAAGGAACTATAATTACAGATTTTTAAAAAGTTGCTTATTTTGTATCAGATAGGATTGGATCTACAACCACTCTTAAATCAGGTGTAAGTGGTCATTTACTGTCTCTTAGAGGAAAAATCCTATTTTTCTAGGCATAAAGGGCAAAGTTTGTCATTTCTGCCTTGGTTGTGCCAAGCTTAGGAAGAAGGAAATTCTTCTGATAGTTACTATTGCACTAAAGCTGATGTGTGGGTTTCGGTTGCCATCTTTATCAATACTGATATTAATTACAGAGAGCAAAAGAAAATTAAGAATTTGTGTAAAACTCTGTTTGGAATGAGTAGTGAATGCCTTATAATAGCAAATTTAAAAAATATATTATTTACACAACATTTTTCAATATCATGTATGTTGCATGTACAGTTTTATTTTGAAAATGAACTATAATTCTGTGCAATTTGAATGCATAATGTCTATAGAAGAATGGGAAGAAATAACTCAAAAGGTATGAATGACACAAAAATGCCTTTGAACCTCTCTCCCAATACTTGTACAGATATGTAAATGCCTCTGCACTGGTTCAGATATGCATGCACAAATTTGATTATAAAACATCTCATCATTCTACAACTGAATTTTGAGCAATTTCACACATTGCATTTTTGGGAGTAGTCCTAAAAGCAACCTGTGAATATGACAGCCAGGTATATGGAAACTTTATCATAGATTGAAGCTATGCATATGTAAACATGATCTTCATACATTCCACCTCATGGAAGACTGGCTTTTTGTCATGTAAAATAACCCTGTGATCTGATTCCCTTGAGAATTCTTGTATTAGAGGTTAAGTGATATGAGTCTCATGGCTCATTTATACTGAGTGCTGCAGAAAACAGACAAAGGAACATACCTATATATAACATTCTATTTGATGCCTATTATTTGCCTCCATTTTATCAGGGAGCAAGGCATTTTAGGGCAAGCTTTTTTTCTCTTTCAAATTCTCCCTCCCTTTCAAGAAGTATTTCTGTGGTTACTGCGAACTCATGTGACTGGCTTCATCCAACACATTACCTTACATTATAATGTGAATTTGTATGGATTTGGCTTAGGGTAAATCCAGCCCCTGGGATTTGTAATCCTTAGTTTATGGCTTAATATGTTGTATGGATCCAACTGTTTGTGATTTAAACAATAAAAGATGGTTTAGTGTGTGAATTGGGCAACATGGGATAAATTAAAATTTGACCTCTGGGAGGAATATTATACTGTAGCAGCTTGAGTTGGGTGCTTAGGGACTCTTACAGTGGGAACAGCCTGATTCATGAACAGAGATATTGTTAATCTGCTGGAGTATCTGTCCAATCCTCAACAATCTGTAAGTGATAATACAAGGAGTTTTCAAGTTCCTTGTGAAAAATCATATTTCCTTCTGACAGAAGTACAGGACTCTGCTCTTTGGAATTTTGCCTAATGCTTATGCATGCAAAAATATATTTAATATGGTTTGAAATTCATAAAGCCTTTCAGCCATTCAATATATTTTACTTAGCAAAGAAGATTAAAAAAATAAATTATGTACAAAGATAACTTGTGCTTCTATAAAAACTGCATTCATCAGCATTTTAATAGCATTTGAAAAGGGTTAATGTTTTTGATGAATGACAAGGAATCATCATTGTTGACTTAGAACTGACAATAGGATATGTCTGTGATTTCCATTTCATCTTTTTGTAATTCTCATGAAGCTTATAAAGTGAGGCAGTAGGGAAAACCCATGTCCTTGTGTCAGATATTATACAAGAGGAACACAGAAAGAGAAGTGGGATTTATCCCTCCTCCCTGCTGTGTTAATATCCCAAACAGACTGAGTTCTCCTTTCCGTTATAGTCTTAAATCCCCAAATATATTTTATTTGTGATATATACTAGTGATACGGGAAAAAACAGATTATGGCTCTAGTGAACTAAGAATTTAACTTAGAAATAATGGCAATATAATGGCAAAGATTCTTATTGCATTCCTGTAGATATTCTGATTTTATTTTTGTTTTTCTCCATGCAGTTGGAGATTGCTTAAAGTGAAAACTTTCAGATTAATTATTTAGTTTTAGTATAATTATTTAGTTCTTTTCCTCAAACATTTTACTGGACAAATAATGAAGTATGCAAGAGTTCCCAGGATCAGCTGACTCAAGATTGTCAAGGCTTGATGAGAGACTGAGCTTTTGGCCAAAAGGGGATTCAAGTAAGTTACGAGAGAAATGACATGTGCAAATACTCAGTGCTTTGGATCAACTCACACTGATTCAAAGCATCACATTAACTCAATAAATTGAAGGGACATGAAGAAAATGTATCTAAATTAATTCATACTGATTTGGATATTTTCCTCACATGTGCACATGCACTTTAAAGGCCTGAATTGGTCCTAATAGAATCCATTCCAATTTGAGGTTCGATTTGAATTGATTCAGATGTCTGAATCAAATTTATTTTCTGAAATAATTTAAACATTTGAATTGAATCAGACTTCACTCACACACCTCAGAAGAACATCTGCACACATTGAACCATGTTCTACAATTATCTCAATGTACATGCAGGTACTAGTTTCCAAAAGGTAGCAGACTTTTGTCCATGTTCTGCTGGCCAGTTTTCATGCAATCCACCTTTCTGGTTTTGAAACAAGATAAAACTGGGGATTGTACAATTATTGTTCAGTGCGGGTGCACATGTGCACACAAATATATATATAAACCCTCCAAATCCATAGTTCACTTGTGAAGACTTGGAAGGCATCTCAATCATACACTTTTTTTTCCAGATTATTACCTTCATAATCAGTTATTGAGCACCCAAGGTTTTAATTTTCCATTTTCCTCTAAGATTAGAGTACGCACTTACTGGTGCTAGTGCAATTTTTTTTACTTCTCAGCTTAATATTCCATATGTATTTATTCTAGTTATTATCCATTGTTCTTCACTGACTGTAGAACAATTTGATCTTTTTCAAGTACAGATATTTATCCAGTTTGCTATATTTTAAGTTCCATGATTTTTAGAATTACATGATCATAGTGCTGTATTATCATTTTCTTCCTTTTTCTTAGTAAAATTGTTGTGTCTTTAAGAAACATTTTTAAAAGATGGTAAATTACTATTGAAGACAATCACCTCAGCATCAGCAAAACTTCTCTATAAATGGAGCCTTTAAAGGGGGAAACCCAAGGTTTTTCATGCATATAAGCATGTAAGCATATGACAGCCATAGCTGAGATCCTTGAAATGAGCCAAGATAAAATCCTGAATCTACTCTCTTTTCCTCTTCTCTGAAGAACCACATGCCATGAAATGGAAAATGTACCTCCATGGCAGACATTATGTCAATTTGATACTGATGATGCTCAAACCAAAAGTGGAAGCTGAAATGGGGCACCATCCTTTAAAGCCTCATACAGAGCTGCATGACGAAGTAGAGCTGAATGAGGGTACCTGAAGAAGAAAGAGGAGGCGGTGGAACGGATGCTGAAGCTTTAGTAGTTTTGAGCTTGTGTGTTATCAAAGAAACATTTGCTTTCCTTCCAGGTAAATTGCTTCTAAGTTGATGAAGCAGGGTAGACACTGAGGTTTTGGTTAAGAAGCAAGTCGAAGTGTAAAATGTCTCCTGACATTTATAGCACAGTAGACCCAGATGACACCTCTTGGCTATACTTCTCAGTCATCTTCTCGGCACATTGGAAAGTTGACAAAAGTGAAGACGTTAAACTCTATCAGTATTGAGAAACACAAGAAAATGGCATAGAGGGTGAGCACATATATGCCCAATTTCTTATCAAGTTTCCATTTATTTAAGTGGATCCCGCCAACCTGTGGGAACATGGGGAATGAATTATTTAAGATTGAAGGCAATATATGCTATAGGCTAAAAAGAACAGTTTAAATGAGAACTTCAAAAATCATACAAGGAAATTGATTTCCATGACCTTTACAACAAGATAAACTCTAGTCCTATAGTTTAAAATATTTGTGGGGTGGAGGAGTTATTTGAAGGCTTAGAGAGGGAAAGGAATGTTTTATGATTCACATACTTAATTGATTTTTTTTAATTAGGTGACAATCCAGCATGCTGCTTTAAGTGTTGTACAAATATCAAGAAATAAGTCTCTTGGGATGCTTCATGGATTTCAATTAAGAATTAGTATAAAAAATTGCTAAGCTATCTGAACAAACTGCCCAAGACTTGTAATTGTTGTATTATAGTCATATCTAGCTTCACTCTATTATCTCTCTCCGTTTTTATTCCTCAAACCTTAATTTTATTCCGTCCTTTTCTCTGGATACATATTGGACTTCAGTTTAGAGGAATCTGGATACCACGAACAAAGTTCACCCCCATTTTCTGTCTGTTAAATTGAGGATGTGACTGCTAAAAGTTGTCTGTTAAATCCAGGTTTTACTGGAAATGGCACTGTTTATGTCACTTAAGTAATTTCTCAAATGACGTGAATTGACAGAAGGACATAAAATCAGATTCAACAGAGACCGTATCATGTACTGTCAATCCAAGGTTTTATTTTTTATATGCTTTTTTAATGCATATATTTTTGCAAGTTTTAAAGCAATTTATTTTTCCAATCAAAGGCATTTTTGTAAGTTATTTTCACCAATGTATGTTTTTTTAATAACACAACTGATTTGTAAAGCCTGTTAAATGGATATGTTGATTAAATAATAGTAGTACATTTTGCATGACAAATATATGTGAGATGTTAAATAAGTTTCATTCCATCCCTAGGTATGTTGTGTTAATATGACTGGATACAGAAATAAATTAATACAACAGTTCACTTACAGTAAGAGCTACAGACCCCAGAAGAAGCACAACAGAATAAACTAGTCCTTTGCTGTTTATCTTAACCTATGAAAACCAGGAAAAAAAATAGATTTAAAATATTTGTCACATCTCAAGAATACAGTAACTAGTAAATGGCTGTTTCTATATAAGACAGAGGATATAAAAACAATTCTCATGATTTCAATCCCAATCAAGTCAACAGGAAATGTCTGCTCATCTGGTATCAATAGGCATTTTCTGATAAACTTCATCAAAAAAGGACTTGTTTTAAAAACAGAAGGAAACAGAGATTGAATTTTGCAAAATATTAGCTTCCAATAGGCTTCTTTCAGAGGGAAGATCTATTCAGGAATCCAAAATGCAAAGGAAACAGTTGAATACTTTTGAGGGGAGCACATTGGTTATGATAATGCTTTAACAACAGTAGAGGAAACAATGCTATCAAGTCAAAGGTAAAGAATTATACTGAAAAGCTAATGGCAGTTGGGGAGGCCTCAAGATACACAGTAACAAAACAACAAGAAACAATTAAGAGATTTTGTGAGATAGTATTGGTTCCTATTGAATGGTTCCTATATGCCCCTGAGAAATATAAAACACGTTACAGAGGCTTCTGAGATGTCTTGCCATTTTATTTCTGTGCCAGCTGTAACCTTGCCCAAGAAAGGGCTAGGTTGGAGAAACAGTTTTATGGAATTTTTGCACACAGATTTGTCTGAAGATCTCAATACTTAGGGTAGCTTTTCTGAACCTTTGCACAATTCCAATATGGCCTGACTGCAATTCCCAGCATTGCTGGCCATCATGGCCAAAGTCTAGTTGAGGATACTGGGAGCTCTTGTCCCAGCTCACAATGCATGTACTGATAATCAAGCTGGGGAAACTGTATTTCAACTAAACTGCGCCAAAATAATTGTTTTCTTCAACCATATTTGTTCTGACAAGGACTTTGATAGATTTATTTACATCTGGATACATACGTATGAGCCATAATTAACCACCATAGTCTGTAAGCCCCATGGTACTCCAAGCCCCACAAGAATGTCAAACACGTTGCTTCCAATTGTATTGGACACTGCCATGTCACCTAATCCTGAAAAATAAACATTTCACAATTCAAACCACTTTGATCCATGCAATGGATTATTTTACAACAAGCAAGAAGCAGAGAGGATAAGCTTATCCCCTCTCAAAGAAAGGCCACATCTAGAGGCAGTGAGCTTAAACTGCAGACCAAGTTGGTCAGGGATCCCTACAATAATTCTTCACAGTGCCATAAACAATTATGTTTAATTGAGGAGAAAGGCAAGTTAAGAATATACTGTACATAGGTTTAAAACCAAAGTTATGTTGTAATACTGAGATATTCAAAGAGTGGACTTCAGAAGAAGGTCATATATGATATTTGGAATCTCAACAATGTAGCTTAATAAAATTAGTTCTCTTGAGGATATTTTAGTTTGAATTCCCACAGAGGACAAGGGGCCGCTTCCAATGTTACGGAATTCTGTGAGGATTCCTGCACAAAACAACAAGCCCCTTCCAATGTTATGATTCTGTGAATTCTAATAATTTCTATATGGAATTATTATTTTTTACAAATCTCAAAATTTGACTGTCTATTGATAGAGCACCAATACAGACCCATTTAAAAGAAAAAAATGGATAAAATCTAATCTATTTTAACTCTTAAGACTGGAATAACAAGTTGATGGTGTGTTTGAGGCTGTAGCTTTAATGAATTAATCAAACCCACAAATGGATTAAATTTTGAAAGGATAAAGCAGAGATTCCTGATTAATGGAGGATAGCTCCCCAGCAAATTTTTACTTAAAAAAATATTTTTGTTTAATTATTTGAGATTTAATTAATTAAATCCACATAAGATTAATACTATGGAAATAAAAATATCCTTTGTTTCTATATTATGCATGTGTATGTTTAAAGTAGGCAACATTTTAAAAGAGCCTTACATCTTTTAAAGGATGCTCTTTTAAATTAGTGTTTGCCATCCAAAGTTTATATATGAATTTGTATTACAAATAATAGGTACAGAATAAAATATTGAGAAAGATAGTACCACCTTAAAAAAAGTATATTAACTCCTTCCTCTCTTACATATCTATACAAATATATTTTTCTACCCAATAATTTGAGATACTTTTTAGTCAGTCCAAAGAACTGTAGATAGTTTAGTTGTACTTTTGGACTGATTTGAATGGGGTAATGGGAATTGTTGATCACTGTATCTGAATCAGTTACTCAATTAACTGATTTAACTTTCACCCCTATTTAGATATATATTGCTTCTTATACTGAATTCAGTATAAGAAGCGATATATATTTCCCATAATAATCCCATAAAACCTTGTATTATTCATCTTTGCCATCAGTTTGTAATTTTAAAAAATGTATGAAAAATGTCATGAATTTTCAGGCACACACGTTCATTCAGACAATTAGCATGCACTTTCAGGCACAAAAACTGCATTTGTCTGTAAGCAGTTTCTTCCAATACACAGTATTTTCTCTCAAATGTCTCTTAATGTATGCATATTTGTATGCAATTTTTGCTAACCATTTTTGTACACGTTTTTAATGGGAGAACTAAAATGCAAAATTAAGAAGATGGCAAAAACTGAAGGATACCTACCTTCTGATTCATATACTAATGTAAGAAATTCAAATGATATTAACTTGTATTAAAGCCTGAATGAAATGAATGTGATCTTAACTAGCTTAGCCTCATCTGTACATTAGTAATGTAAGAGGTCTGCTTACTGATGTAGAAAACAAGCACAGCATTTCTCTGAAACTGATGCAGGCTTTACCTTGTCTTGCTACTATTAAGCTGGCCATGCAGTCTGGTACACTAGTTCCTGCAGCTAGGAAAGTAATGCCCATGATAACATCAGGTATCCCTAGAGTGTAACCAATCACTGTTACCTGTGCAACAAAGGAAAACAAGCTGTTGAAAACAATAGAGCATCATGACTCTTAGACCTTCTTTAACTTCTTGAGCACGTGGGTCTTAAAATGAATCAAGCTAATAAACATGACAATTTCCATGCTAAAACAAAGCAGAAACCTATAGAAAGCATAGTGATCAGTGTACATGGCTAAGACTAGTAAAATTGGAATTCAAGTCCACACTGTGCCCTGAAGTTCATGGGGTTGACTATGGATTAATCCCAATATTACATCCAAATTTGCCTCACAGGATTGACTGCTCTGAGGATTAGAGATGGCCATATATGCTGTCCTGTGTTTCTTGGAGGAGGGGAGGGATGAAAATAGGATTAATGAATGGGTACTAACTGAGTTTAATATGACACAGCTTTCCTAACATAATGCTCTGTGGATATGTTTGGACTACAATTCTAAGAATTCCTAACAGCATGACCAATAACTGGCTGGGCATTCTAGGATTTGTAGTTCCAGCATATCTGAAGGACACCAGATTGAGGAAGACTGGATTAAACACCAAATGGCAACCCATGATGCCTGACCATTGTCTTCGGTCAGAGTTTGCAGGTTTTTCAAGAATAATTTTAAACAGCTGCACGGCTTATGCAGATAAGAGATTATAATGGAATGATTCCATATCAAAGACCAATAATGAGTAATCGTGCCATCTTCAACTGAGAAAAGAAGGATCTCTACCTGGCCTTGCCTGAAACCAAAATGTGGGATTGTGGCACAAGACTTACTTTTCCTAGTTACTGAAAAACTAGCCAGATAGACCAACGTCTACCTTTGTGATTTGATTACCAAATTGTCTTAACAGGCTCCAGAAGGCTAGCGGAGTTGCAGGGCAGGATATGGCATTTTGCAGTAGCATAAGTATTTGCCAGTTATGTTAGAGAAGAGAAGGAACAAAGGATAAGAAATAAAGTGAAAAAGCAGGAGGAGGACAGGCTTAAAGTATCACAATGATTACTTTAATAAAAGACACTATTTGAATCTAATATTGCACACATCAAACTTTTCCTTTCCTTTCTTTCAGTTAGATTTAGATAGTAAAGTTCTTCATTACTGTTGCCTCTATTTTCTACCTAATTTCATAACAAATGTTATCTTAGACAAAAAAAGCATATTTTTGCACTCACTCACCAGCCACACCATAAAGTAGGAAAACAAAGCAATCCACAGTGTGGAAAAGACAAATGTCAGCATGAAAAAATTCTCCCAGCGTGGCTTGCTGCAGTTTGGGATGGTGAAAAAGAGGAGGAATATCAGTGGCCAGGTCAGGATCCATTTGACTTTGTCCATTTTTCCTTCTGGAAAACAAAAAAACAGAAAAGGGAACCAGTTTGTTGGTGTACATTACTGTACTGGTATGTGCTGCATTAGCAGAATTAAATGGAAATGAAGCCAACGTTACAGTTGTACATTTTAGTGAAGAGAAAGGTCAGAAGGAAGAAGGTCTCTTTAGAGGGAGAAAGGGACCAGAATCCTATTCCCAATTTAATGGTTTGCCTGTGGGGAGGGGGCAGCATGTCTGAATTGTGCTACGTTGACTTCTCTTGTTTCTCAGAAGAGCAGCAGTACTTGAAGCAAGGACATCTTGAAAAGCAGGCAAGATGTTGACATGATTGGGATGATATGAACATAGGAAGAAAACAGCAACTGATGCAAAACTTTCACAGCAGGACTGATGGGATTGTGATATAACCTGCATCAACTGCAGCTTTTGCAGGCTCTTCAAAGGCAGCCCTACTGAAAACAGACTGAAACACTCTAGTTAATGAACAAATATATCATCTACTTGTTAACTTCACGCATACTGAGGTCTTTCTTCCAAGAAGTGCTTCAATTTGCCATTGCTCTGAGAGCAACATTGCTCTGAACGTGGTCGATGAAGCAAGTTGTTGTATTCTTCGCATTGCTCTGTTTGCCTCCTCTGGCGTATTCAGTTGCCAATAGAGGCTGCTATGCATGCACATTACATGTGCAAAGGCTTCTTCCAGCTACTGGAAGAGTCCCAGAGCACTGACATGAAACATCTCAACAAGGCAAATAGGATAAGAAAGATAGGGTTGACCCCAGGACAGAAAAAGCTGCTTCAAGATAAATTGTGGCCACTACTTTCTACAGTCCACTGTTCAGTTTTTCTCCAGCTTCTGCATTTATGTTAACCATATTTTTTTTTTAAAGGAGCAAAATGTTTTTCATTACTAAAAACAACCACCACAACAAAGTTAAAATATGAGAAAATCAATAATAAATGGCTCTACATCCAGGAAGGAAAAACTGGGGCAATCAAGAAAGTCTCATCAGTGTACAGCTAAGAGAGTGTTCACGGCAACTTCCCACCCCCCTCCCAGCAATGATGAACAATAGACCATAACATGAGCAGAGCTTACAAAGCACTGTTTCCAGACCAGATAGCTATTACTGCACTTAGATTTGTCTAAATTGACATAAATTGGATCTAAAAGAAAATACAGAAAATACAAGATCACAATGGCTTTGGTAAAATAAAAACTGATGGTTCTCTTTATATCTTTCCTAACATCAAATGTGTTTCCACCAAGGAAAGAGAGACATATTTGGGTTACAGCTGGCTTACATGTTTTCAGAAATGTAAAAGAGCACTGTTTCTTTGTCCTAGATTCCTAGGTATGATCTGAAACTTTAATACCTAGCTATGATAAATGTTCCAGGTTGTCACCTCTAACCTAAGACTACAGCATTCTATAAATTAGCAGCTAGACCAAAATTATCCAGAAAGCAGGCTGGAGTCACTTCCTAGCAAACAGAAATGTCCTAGGAAATGTCCTCATATTCTCTTCAAACTCCTAACTCTTCCTATTACTTTCCTGACTTTCCAAATCAAGCACTAAAAAAATTAGTAGAGTATTTACAAAGAAGCCATATGAATGTTTTCTCTGTGTTAACCTGTCTAGTTGGTCAACAGATTTTTAAACTTCCAATTTAGGGATGGAGATTATTTTTTAAAAAAATCCAGCAGCATCCTGATGATTCAGTTCTACCGTTCACAGACACAGAGCACTTACAGATGAACATTTAAACAAAGACACCCCTTTGCTAGAGGGAAGAACAAAAGTACAAACCTAATTTTTCTCTTTTCCAATCATGCTCTGATCAGGAGAGAATTTAAATCTTAACCCATAGCCACATTATGGCAGTAACATAGATTTCCCAGAAATATATATTTATTTTTAAGTATTTAATATCTGATATAACATCAGATCATTAGATCAGTTATTTTGAGGAAGAACTGTATGCGTTCTATATGCAGTCTGTATGCTTTTCAATAGCTGCCTTTCAAACTTTGAGAAACGCAAATACCAAAGAGTAGCTTTGTTTCAGTACTTAAGCATTCCTAATCATATCCATTTGCCTAGATCGGGGTACATGAACTGAGGCCCCTTGCCGCAAACAGCCTCTCAAAATCTTGGCTGCAGCCTCCACATAATTTGCCACGAAACGAAAATTTCTATTCTGGCAGAAGAAAAGTATTGAATACATGGGAAATAATCATCTGAATTGCATTAAATCAAAACATCCACTTGTCTAGCCTTGTCCCCACACCTGTTATAGCCTAAAGTTTAACAGCAGCTCTCCAATGTGGTCAGTGGTACAAAAACTATCAAAACTAAGGCAAAAAGTAAGGCCTTTTCTTTTTTAAAAAACAATGCTGAACATCAAATAAAAAATATTCTAGCAGTGTAAACCAGCAGCTGCATTCCTAATTTAGTCTACGACACTTTCTGAAAAACAAAGGGCAAGATATAAAAAGTTGAAATTTATCCCTCTTCCAGGGTTCTAAACAAATTGAAAAATGCAATGAAATAAAAGCCAGATACCAACAAAGCAATTTGCCAAAGTTATGTATCAACCTTCCATAATGTGCCTTGTATATTTACCTGGTGGTGAAAATGGAGACAGGACAATGTGTTCTGTTCCTTCTTCTTGGTTATCAACATGGATGGCCCCATTTTCAATATTCTCATGTCTCCCATTCTGAATCAACTGGCCATTGGAAGAATGAATTAGACGCTGGCGCTAAAATGTACAGAAAAAAGCCCAATGACTGTTAGAGCATACTGCTCCTTAAACACCTGAATGCAGGTGATTTATTTACCTGAGCTTTTAAACTCTAAGAGGCTGATATTCCCAATTAAAATACTTAAAATTTTAAACAAGTCAGTATAATAGAACCAGTCCTGTAGGCGTTCTTTAACCAACCTCAGGAGCAGTTAAATCATATTTCCTGTTCTATCCCCAAAGGTCCTACAGAAGAGCCAAGTCTGGACCATCTTCTGAAATGCCAACAAATATGAAATCATCCTTATTAGCCATGCTAATTATACTTAGTATTAATTAAATTAAATTAAATCAAATTAAATACAATTTTTGTCCTTCATCTCCTATTACTTTTTGAAGTAAGCATGCCATTCCAGGACCAAATACGTCCCTTTGCTCAATAAAAGTTGCATATTTCTGTTTTAAAGTGTTTAAAATTGATGGCCATCACCACATTTTCAGGCGGTGAAATTCACAAATTAAACGTGCATTGTGTGAAGAGGGTCAAACGTACTGAAATTAATTGGGCTTGTTAATCACAGCTAATATATTTTCCCATCAACCAGCATAATGATTTATTTCTTTATTTATGACTTCAATTTACTTATGGCTTCAATTTATAAACTGAAATATAAATAAATACATCACTCAAATTTTGAGAGCTCTGAATGCCTTACGCTATGAATTGATTACTTTAGAAACAGAACATAATAAGAATTAAATGAATAGGACTCATAAAAAGTGATTGACTAAGCTAGTCAACATTTTAATTATTTTCTCCATTGTGGACTCACCTCATTAATAATTAACCTGCTTGCCATCCGTAGTCTGGTTCTTGGCCCAAATTTGTTGGTAATCATTATTCGCAAGCCAGCTTCAGGGAAGCGATATTTCGGAGGACTGGAACAAATAATCTCATCGACCATCACCACAGAATTGCGTCCATGCTCTTGCGTTCCTCTCACTAGTGACCACAATGCCAATTAATAATTCTAATTTTCTATACTTGCTTTTGCCCACATTTGATAATAATGCCTCCTTTGGGTAACTCAGAGGGCATGTAATCTGAAGCTTCAGAAATAATAAACTATTCCATTTCTTATCTGTTGCCAAAATAGGATGCATGTCAAATAGGACATTTTGCTATATTTGCGCATTCATTTTCAGCTCTGTAGAAATATACTGGCTTTATGTGGAAATAGCTTTTCCCTTAGTCTTTGATCCTCACTCATTAATCTTCTTGCTTTATACTTCAGGAGTAATATTATTACATTGATTATATCTTACTATATATATTATGGTCTATCTGCTTACTATAGACCATATGCTGGTTACATAGTAGCTACACAGTTCCAGGGATTACAATAATGGTTACTATCAAACTAAAACCCAGTTCACTTGAGCATGTGTTAAATCAGTAAATCTTAAATTTAATCTGGATGATAGAAACAAATATAAAAATATGAATGGCTACAGCTGAGACAAACTACATTTCTTAAAATGTAATATTTCTTATTGATAATTGAATAAGCAGGTTCAATATCCTCATTTTCCTAAGAATCAAATACCTAAACTTTCACCTACATTTAGAAGTAAGCTGTCTGTTCTTATAACATGTGAAACTAGTTTAACAAAAGTTTGCTTTAATAATTTTGTGACAATGTCATTAGGTGACAGCCCCTGGATGATTATAACCAGACTACCTAAAGCTAAGTAGGGTCAGACCTGATTAGTATTTGGAAGGGAGACCTCCAAGAGATACTGGGGGGCGGGGGGAGGGAACCTAGAAAGAAGGCAGTAACAATGACTTCCTTATTGCTGCCCAGAAAACTACTTTATACTGTACTGACCTCTGTTCTAGACCAAGAGATCTAACATGCAGCTGTGAGTATTAGTAAAAGGAAGCAACAGTCAATGCACGTAAGCAAACAACAAATGTTACCAGCTAGAAACAGCAAGCACAGTAAGGCTGAGCAGACAGGAGACGTATGTGTTAGAATACACATTGCAATTAAATAAAATATAATATTAACTGATGGGAGGACTATATTAGCAGTTGTGCGCCAACTAAGGGACAGTGTTATTCTTTATTGCCCTAGTTACTCAGCTGTAATACTGCACATAAGCAGTTTACTTATGTTAAGAAGAAAGGAATTAGTTTGTTAAAACCAACCAACCATTAGTACATAATATTCAATTCGAAAGCACTGAAAATCTGGGGAAAATATTCATTCAAGCCAAACAATTAAAGAAGATTCCCCACAAAACCTCACACATGACAACTGCAGGTCTGTGATTTCAAAAGAAATAAAGACTGAAAAGGTAGTCAAGGAAGAGCTTAAAACTGATATTTTCTTTTGGACTATGCATCATGGCTAGAACAAAGTTTTCTGCGCATCCACCATGGCTGAGTTCTGATGGCAGGTTCCTACCTGTTGCTAATGAGATTCAGGGTTAGACTGGACAAGCAAGCAGGGAGGATCAGACTGATTTTCAGTTGTGCACAATCAATTGCCTAGTTTACACTTGCAGAGAAATGAGTGAGAAGAAATAGACTTCAGCAGCCTGAGAATGAAAACCTGTGTGCTGTCGGGGGAGGCTATCCAGTGTACAGTATATGCCATAACATAATTACTAGCACAGGAGGAAACAGACCTAAAGATTTCACCTTCCCATTTCCCCAGACCACACTTAACCAGTGCTTTTGGAATGATGCTGATTGCACTGACACCATGATTTCTAAATGAAATTACATCCGTACAGGATAAGGTCAGTACATGCAGGGATCAGAAGTATTTCTACGGCCAGCCTCTTTCAGGTTAGTTAACAATAATACCTGCCATTAAAAGATGCTCTATACTTGGTCTACCCATTTATATGCTGGAACTGATATTACATTTATGGAAAAGTTCCAAAAATACGTCTGTTTTTGCTTTAATGATTATACAATGGCTTTTGACCATGTATAATCTGACAGCAGATAACGAACTGTGGATAAAGTATGGGCATACTGGACAAATTCATCAGCCTACTGAAGAATCTGTATCATGACAAAGAAGCCATAGTTCAAATGAAATAGGGGGCAACTAAATGGTTCAAAATTGGAAATTTTATTTAACTTATCTGCAGAATATATCTTGAAAAATGCTGGATTAGAAGACAGAAATTTGAATTAAAATTGCTGGAGAAACATCAACAACCTTAATATGCTGATGATACCACTTTGATGGCTGGAAATAAGGAAAACTTAACAAAACTTTACCTTGTTGAAGATGAAGGAAAAGGATATAAAAAGCTGGTTTCCTGCTCAATATTTAAAAAAACCAAAGAGTAAGTCAATATACAATGTCAACCTAACATACAAAAAAAAGTGGTAGTTTTATCTTCCTAGACTCAGACATTCACAGGGATACTGACAGAAGCCATGAAATAAAGAGATGTTTGTTACTTTAAAGAAAGACTATGACAGATATAGAAACATATTAAAATGTAGAGACACTACACTATACTGACAACAAAGGTATGTATTATCAAGGCCATGATTTTCCCAGCTGTAACTTACTGCTGTAAAGCCAGAACATCAAAAAAGCTGAATTAAGAAAACTGATTTTTTGAACTGTGGTATGGAAAAAATAGTTGAGAACCCCTTTCCAAGGAGAAATAATTCAATACCAGAATTATTAGCATTAGACAAACAGTCATGACATAGAACTGACTGCTCACTGGAAGTACTAATAATGAAACTAAAACTTAAATACTTTGGAGCTGTAAGGCAAAGGCAAGAATCTCTGAACAAGACCTTGATGCTGGAAAAATGGAAGGAAATCGAAAATGAACCCAACAGATGACAAAGGAACTAGATACTATTATCACAAGTATGAACTTACAAGAACTCAAAGAAGCAGTTACTGATAGTCAATCCCAATGCAATGATGTCCATCTGATCATGAAGAGTAGGAAATGACTGAATGATTGAACAACAACAGGAAGACTGTCTTTCAAGGAAGAAACATGTGCTAGCCAATAGATAAGGGAAGATGAAGAAGGCTTAGAATAATTCTATAATCTATATTCGGAAGACAAAACAGAATCACATTGGTCATCAGCAAATCTATAAAATGAAAGCCTGTTTGCACTGCATTTAATCTTTGTATCATTGATCCACAGCATGCTTGTTGAAGCCTAAGACACGAGCCAGGAATTCTGAGTGTGAATTTGGCTAGACACATCCTAAACTACCTTTAGCAATGCTACTATCCTTTAACCATAGCCCTGATACTTGCTCAGTGGGAGGAGGCAAGAGAGAGCAAGAATATTCACCTCTATACGTGATTTGTTGTAGGCATTTATAAGATAATCTACGTGAAGCACTCCAAACATTTAAACCTGCCTTCTTTAACTTGATGCCCTTTAAATTCCATAATCCCAAGACAGCATGAGTCCAGGATTATGAGACCCAGGGTAGTTGAAGTCTAAGAGATCTGGAGTGGATCAGGTTGGACAGCCTGATCTTAAGGTGAAGGCATTACAGAAATATGTTTAAGTAAGATATTAAGAGGCACAGCCTTTCTCAAACTGGTATCTCTAAATTTCCCTCATTTCTAGCCACTTGGAGAACATTAGGTTAGATACATCTAGCACAGAAGGTGTGGCATGTGAGAACTATCCTAGGAGTAAGTACCACAAAATATAGCAGATAAACAAATCTTACAGACGTGGCTCAGGAGAGGATAATTAAAGGCATAGGAGCCAAGAGCCAAGAACTGTGTGCTGAAGCTCAAATGAAAACCCCTCACAAGAAGCTTGCATATTGCAAAGTAGTTTACTGATAAAACCCCTAATGGACTTCAGCCTCCCATAGAGCTCCAATATTTCATCACTGTGCAGAAGATATAGTTTCAACAGCTGAGCTTTTCCCATAGCACTGCCTGATAAAATGCCCTCTCCAGTTTTCCTTTTTCTTCTGCTCATTCTGATCTTTTTGGAACGAACTGCAACTGAAAAAAAACAGCTTGGGGTCACGAAAAAGAAATGTCATGAGATATTCGTTAGCCTTTAAGGTACCACTAAGTTATTGCTTTTGCTGCAAAAAAACAAGAGGCTAGTCCTCTGGAATGTGGACACACACTTGAGACATTTGTCCTCGATTCTATACAAGTCCGCCTTATGTATTTCATCACTGTGAGTTTCTACTGACTGGGCCAGAGCATATAAACAATTCTCACAATAAAAACAAGAGGTTTCCAGGCACTGTGCTGTTATCCTAAAAGCACAAACGTTAGTTGCAAAAATATGAGCCTTCTCTTCTTGCCCAGAAGTCTTGTCTGAAATTGGATTTTCCACCGGCTGAAGAGCTTTGTATATATGAGAGCCCTGTAACAGAAGTTTTTTTAAAAATGTTTTGTTCCTTGAAGCTCTTGAAAGCAATAAAACTTACAAGCTTCAAAGATAGCCCAGCAGTCTGTGAACCTTCCTTTTATCTGTACCCTCAAGTAATAGAATTCCTCCATCAGGATGTAGAATGTAGTCAGCAGAAAGCAAGCGTTCTTCTGTAGGAAATAATCAGACTCTGCACTCAGACAATGGAGAAAGTTAAGATGAGATCTGAGCTTCACTGACCCTGGAGAGATATTAACAGATGTCCTAAACATCCTTGCTGGAGACAACACTCAAAGCTAGATTTAGGGCTCTGATTCGGTTGACACCACTCCAAACAGCTATGGAACAGGCCAACCATGGCAGTTCAACAATCCATGGCATATTTCAGTTAACAGAAAGAAGGCATCTCTCAAATCTCGAATGGGGCAAGATAGAGATGTGGGTCTGTTCTTTGTGTACATAAAGAGCTTCATTTTGGCTGCATGTAGGCAATGCTTTTTCAAGATAGTCTAGTGCACCCTGTGGATAACAAGTACTTGTTATCCAACGGCTAGAATATTCTCCCTTGCGGGAAAACAACAAATGCATAGTGATAAAAGGCAGGAACAGATTTTTTTAGTACTTTCACTGCTTGCAAATCTCCTGACAGTTGTATGCAAGAGAAAGGTCTTATTTTTAGTTTCAGAGGAAAGCAAATCTTTTAGAATTAAAGGAGAACCAATATACACTCTTCCATATAATAGTAGCGTAAAGAAAAGTAGGAGCAGAAGCACCATTCCTTTCCTAAATGGTCAAGAATTTGACTAATTATTTGATACAAACACCAAAGTTCTTAAAATGTGAAAGTCTGCTGTCAAAGGCAAAAAAGCAAGGTTTCATCTATAACCTATATATCCTATATCCAGGTTTCTCAGCTATTGTTCTGAGATGGCAGCTTCGTTAACAAGTCCTCTCCTTTGGAAATAACATGATGCTAGAGTGCCAATTCCATTTTTTAACCCAGCACTCTTAGGATGATCCTGATGATCCTCATTCTCACATTAACTCGAATACTGGAAGAAATGTTTTTCTTTCAGTATTATTTCACACTATCATCTTACTACAGGACTTTTCAAATTCTTTGAAAACTCTCACCTGCTCATGTAGGGTACTGGACAGGCACGATGGGCCTTATAACTGCTCTGTATTAATTGAGTACATGGCCCAGAACATGTAAAATGTTATCTGACTGTTGTCCATTGCAGAGGAAGATGAGTGACCCTGGGCTGCTCGTGCTTGTCCAGCCCATTTATTAAACACGAATGCATTTCCTAGGACAGTTTAATAAATCCCAAAAAGCTGAGTTGTCAAGATGTCTCTGAAAGTAGTAGACCCTGGCCAAACCTCAAACAGCTGAAACATATACTAACATGTATATAAAGATTGTGGAAATCTGCCATCCGAGTTTGAATCACTAATAGTGAACAGTATTATTTCAAAGATCTTCTGCTCAGCTCATGTCTGCTTAGCCTTACCTTTCTGTAGCAATGGTATGGATGGATCATCACAGCTAAGGTCATAATATTCATTACCATCTTCCAGTTCGCTGTTCACAGTGTTGCCATTCCCAACATTCATACTTTTGATAGTAAAGAAGTTCTGCATCTTCACATTGTATCTAAAAGTATAAAAGAGAAAAATCCAAAGAATAGTTCATAACCCTGGCTATCTTTTCTGTTCTGTTTCTAGTGCTTACAACCCCCGGGAGCAGGTTGGACTGTGATACATCAGTTTATCAAATGCTATCTAATCTGAGCATACCTGGCTGATGACTACATTATACATTATGTTCTTCATGATCTGGCCAAAATTAAGCCCTTTTAGATCCCACTAATTTCAATGGGATATATTAAAGTGATGTTTATTTCTCTCCCACTAAAAGCAAAAGTACTTACATTTTCATTTGGATCATATTAAGAAATGAGAATATTACAAAGATATGCGAGCCAGGCAATGGGGCTGGCTACAAGGCTCTGTCCTATCTACGTTGCAAAATGTATGTGAAGGCTACTTTTAAGAAATGTGGTTTTGATTTCAATATTGTGTTTTCAAAATCTATGTTGCTGAGGGATACATGGAAGAGAGAGGCCAGATTCATGAATTCTTCAAAAGAGGGCATTATCCTTGAACCCAACACAATTTTACAGCAATACCTCTAACTCTGATTGCATGATCCCAGTGGCTGTGTATCACAGAGCAAAATACATTTGAACTATACATTGCTCCCTTATGAAATGTTTTCTAATTTGGATATAATGATTTAAGACCCTGCTGTAAAATATCTGAAAGGGGAGTTATGTTGATTATTTCTGTTGAATTGCAAATACACCACACATATAAAGACTTTATTTCTTGCAAAGGTAGCTGATTAATAGCCAGTATAAAAATTATATTCAAATTCTCCAAAGCCAAATCCATAAATGCAAGCATGCTTCATTTTGAGCCAGAGCCAATTATTTATCCTAGCTGCTTACAATGCTCTTTCAAATGTGCTATTCTGAATATGAAGAAGAAAGCAGAACATTTATGATCCACAGCCGCTTTCTGATTTTCCTCTGAAAATGACTTCTCTTGGATACATTCCATATTATTTGGCCTTATAACACAACACTGGACTTCAGTACCCATTACTTCAACCTCTACTGCCAATGGCTGTGCTGGCTAGTGATAAGGGAAGTGGCTTCCAACACATCTGGAGGGCACTAGGCAGCTAAAGGCTGTCATAAACAGTAAATGTTCTCTTTCATCTTCAATTTCAATAGCCCAAATGCAGATCCCACAAGAATGAGCCTCAGGCAATTTGTTATTGCAGACAATTCACATTTAAGCAAAAAGTCTACTAGTTGGGGAAATTAACAGCAATAAAGCAAGGAAAGTGAGTTATTCTTAGTTATCTACCAAAGTACATTGCAAGATCATGTGATTGTTAGCCACACATATTTAAAGCAGAGGAGAAGTTAAGAATACTTACTTCATGATAAGTATATAGAAGGAATACATAATGATGAGTATAAGGCTTTCCCACCTCAAATAAATAAAAGGAAGGAAATTAGTAGTATGGCTAGTGCCATTTGTGGTAGTGTTACATATTTTCTGTGGAATGTATCATTGGAACATAAGCACTATTTTCCATTTCTAGCACCTCACACGCTAAACCAAAGAAGCTGTTATGTCTGCCTGTTCTTTGTTCCTCTTCTTACTCACTCCTTCCTGCAGTAAATTGCAATCTGTCTTTCTCCCAATGCTGCATGGTGTTCTTAAATCTAATACAGTCCCTACCTTCTATCTGTGGAGGCAGTTTCCTTTCTCTACTTCTCCCCACAATTATTTCTAATCAAAAATATCACTAAGGTAGAACAAGCCCTTATACCACATCACCTAAAAATACTTAGAGAGCTATCCTGCCTTAGCTGGGAAAACAGCTGAGGGTCCACAAAAAGTGAAATAAATAAATTAGTTAAAATAAAGGTCTGCTAACAACATAAAAGCCCCCACATTTTGGAAGGGCTCTAGATCAAAACTCTGCTGATGATTTTCCATCACTGATAAGGAGAGCAAAGCAAGGCATGCCAAGAAACCATTAGAGATAGGTATGGAACTTCAGGATCCAAAACCTTTTTGCCCTATTGACACATCCATAAAACTGGTCAACTGTCTGTCTCTATCTGTCACTGATATCTAACAGGAAGAACAATATTGCTCCCCTCCTATTTTGATTACAGAAAGCAGCCAAGCTGGGGGATGTGCTGGTGGTTTTACTAAAAAGTCTCCACCCAACCCCAGGAACAGATTTGCTCTGCATGCCCAAGTTTACTTCTCTTAATCAAACAACATGAAGAAATGAAAAGAACAGCTTACCATACAATTTTCTCATCATATATAAACTAAAAAGGAGGAAAAAGAAAGAAAAAAGGAATGATTATCTAATTCAAGTGAAAAGAAATTTGGTTACATTACAGAATACAGAGGCATGCATACATATAATGTTGAGTATAGAATGGTTTCCAGGCAGAATCAACGAGGACTGTTATTCTCAGTTACTATAGATCTTTGGTCCTGAATCATTGTTCCAGTAATGAAGGCCACCTTCAGTGCCACATCAATACTGGGTGCTAGACAAAATGTATAGCATTTTTGAGGTAGGGCAAGCTTGCCAAATCTGTGAACCTCCTGATATATTAAGATTACTACTCCAGGACTTTCAAGTGAGGGGAATTGGAGGACAAGTTGGGGAAACTTGTTGTAGACAGTGATTTATATGGTAAGCAGAGCTGCAAAGTCCAGGCTGAGAGACCATGGATTAGAAAACACTGAAGAAGCATGGAATAAAGTACTTCTTGTGCACAGAAGTGTGATGAGACATCAACATTTCCTTAAAATGAAAAGCAGTATGTCATTCTTGCATTTCTCATTTTAGAGAACAAATAGCTCATTGCCCCACTCTTTTTGACTTCTGTTATGATCCAAAATTCAGTACAATATGTACTGAGAGAAAAATAGGTAGATAGCTTAATTTGGACAACAGGGAAGGTGGCATTTCTGCAGCACATTTGGTTGCCAGAAGTCAAGATCTGGCAGCTTCAGAGGCAAATAGGTGACTCATTTGGAGCGTATTATAGATTTTTATCATGAACAAAGCCAGCTCTAGAATAATTAAAACCAATAGTTCATAAGGCTAAAAGCAGCATCTAGCATCCCTGGACATCTCTCAAGAGTTCACTGCTGATTTCTTTCCCAGGTCACAAGATGGCAGGGTTAAGCAGTCATTTAAACATCCTACTAATTCCCTAATGCAGCATCATACTGCAGCTTATGGGAAATGGAAATGATTGCAAAATCTCTTCTAATATTGCTGCTTGTTGTCTGTTATCACTGCCAAATAGGACCATCAAGACCTAACAGTGAATGGGAGTTTGCCAGAGCCGCCTGTGCCCAAATTCACCTTATCTTGGAGTTGCCCTTGATAAACTCCATGAAAGAATGCAGCAGATACACTGCCCTTGCCACATCTACTGCTGGTCAGATTGATCATTTATTTTTTTATTTTTTTAATAGATTTATATAGCCTCCTATCTCAAATAAATGATTCTGGACAGCTTACAACATTAAAGTAATTAATTAAAAACATTTAAAAACAGAAAAGCGATAGCAGCTGTAAGCCACAAACAGCAATCAACATAACCAGGAGATAGTTATGTTTTAGGATGTATCTCTGAATTCTCAGATAGTATGGTAATTCTGGGAGTTGCCTTATCAACAGCTCTAAAAGGCACCAGACTAGGAGAGACTAAGGAACACATTTAAGATCCTTTGTGTGGGAATCTTTGAAGGAAGAACCTACCATACTAAGGAGGAACTTACTACCATACTATGGTAGGAAGAACCTACCATACTTAAGGAGTCCTCCCATGATGAATTCTATTGAGAACCATAATCTCAAGCTCAGCTGTTTGCAAGGAAATGGTGAAGAAAAATGACAAGACTTACCACAATAAGTGCTATTACAGACAGAGTGTAGTAGACAGAATCCCTGAACACAGACCACCAAGTGAGACGGACCACCTAGAAAAAGGATACAATTATTCCACATAGCAACCTCTACCTTAACAATGCTTTGATTTTAGATTTTTCAACCGATTCTGAAACTTCATTATAAGGAAGCAGTACTGATGAAATAAAGTGCTGGTTCATGTAGGCCAGTGTTGTCCAAACTTGGCCACTTTAAGATGAGTGGACTTCAACTTCATGCTGGCTGGGG